CGGGCGCCTGTGGTCCCAGCTACTTGGGAGGCTGAGACAGGAGACTCGCTTGAGCCCAGGAGTTGGAGGTTGCTGAGAGCTGTAATGCCACGGCACTCTACCCAGGGCGACAGCTTGAGGCTCTGTCTCAAAAAAAAAGAAAATAAAAGAAAAAAGAAAAAGAAAAAAAAAGTTGTTGCTCTTTATTTGGTTTTTTGTTTGTTCATTTGGAGACAGAGTCTATGTTGCCCTCAGTAGAGTGCTGTCACATCACAGCTCACAGCAATCTCAAACTCTTAGGCTTAAGCGATTCTCTTGCCTCAGCCACCCCCTCCCAAGTAGCTGGGACTTTAGGCACCTGCCACAATGCCCAGCTATTTTTTGTTACAGTTGTCATTGTTTACCTGGCCCGGGGTTCGAACCCACCAGCCTCGGTGTATGTGACTGGCACCGTAACCAGTGCTATGGGTGCCAACCCCTGTTTGTTTGTTTGTTTGTTTTTTCTTTTTCTTTTTTATTGAATGGTAACTATGTCCATTAATGCGCTTCTGGGGTACAGTGTGGAATTTTCACACACAATCTGAAACATTTCCATCAAACTGGTTAACATAGCCTTCATGTCATTTTCTTAGTTATTATTTTAAAACGTTCACATTCTACTCTTAGAAAGATTCACTTGTACCCTTGAAAGATAAACCTCAGAAGTGATCCTTCCAACCCCCCTCTCTCCACCCATTCCCAGTTTTTTTTCTTTGTTTGGTTTTTGTTTTTGTTTTTTTTGAAGTTTTTGGCCAGGGCAGGGTTTGAACCTGCCACCTCCGCATATGGCATCAGCGCCCTACCCCTTTGAGTCACAGGCGCCGCCCCTTCTGTTTGTTTGTTTGTTTGTTTGAGACAGAGCCTCAAGCTATCTCCCTGGGTAGAGTGCAATAACATCACAGCTCACAGCAACCTCCAACTCCTGGACTCAAGCGAGTCTCCTGCCTCCGCCTCCCAAGTAGCTGGGACCACAGGCGCCCGCTACAGCACCCGGCTATTTTTTGGTTGCAGCCGTCACTGTTGTTTTGGTGGGGCCGGGCTGGATTCGAACCCACCACCTTAGGTGTATGTGGCTGGAGCCTTAGCCACTTGAGCCACAGGTGCCGAGCCTGTTTGTTTGTTTTTGAGACACAGTCTCACTTTGTCCCCTTTGGTAGAGTGTTCTGGCATCATAACTCACAGCAACCTTAAACTCTTGGGCTCAAGTGATCTTCTTGCGTCAGCCTCCTTAGTAGGGGGAACTACAGTTGACAGCCACAAAACCCGGCTATTTTTTAGAGACTGGGTCTCTCTCTTGTTCAGGCCGGTCTTGAACTCCAGAAATCAAGCAATCCACCCACCTACATCTCTCAGAGTGCTGCAGGCATGAGCCACCATGCCCCGCCTTAGTTGTTGCTTTTTTTTTTTTTTTTTTTTTTAGAGACAGAGTCTCACTTTATTGCCCGCGGTGGAATGCCGTGGCGTCACAGCTCACAGCAACCTCCAACTCCTGGGCTTAGGAGATTCTCTTGCCTCAGCCTCCCAAGTAGCTGGGACTACAGTTGCCCGCCACGATGCCTGGCTATTTTTTTGTTGCAGTTTGGCTGAGGCTGGGTTTGAACCCGCCACCCTCGGTATATGGGGCTGGTGCCCTACACACTGAGCCACAGGCACCACCCAGTTGTTGCTTTGTAACAGAATAAAATGTATAGCAAAGTGGGTGGGATACCTCATAGCTTGCTTCAGCCCTCCCATCTCAGCCTCCTGAGTAGCTGGGACTATAGGTGCATACCACTATCATGCCAATATTTTTTATTTTTGTAGAGACAGGGTCTCACTATGTTGCCGAGGCTGGTCTCCAACTCCTGACCTCAAGTCATCCTCCTGCCTGAGGAGAGATCATAGGTGTGAGCCACTGTGTTGCCCAACTCATTTATCTACTTATTCAAAGTATAACATGAGGCTTGGCACCGTAGCACAGTGGTTATGGTGCCTGCCACACACAATGAGGGTGGTGGGTTCGAACTCAACCCAGGTCAGCTAAACAACTGCAACCAAAAAATAGCCAGGTGTTGTGACAGCTGCCCGTAGTCCCAGCTACTTGGGAGGCTGAGGCAAGAGAATCACTTAAGCCCAAGAGTTGAAGGTTGCTGTGAGCTGTGACGCCACAGTACTCTACTGAGGGCGACATAGTGAAACTTTGTCTCAAAAGAAAAAAAGTATAACATTCCTATTGTGTGTAAGGCAATGCATTAGCCCTAATGAATGCAGCAGTAAATTAAACAGGGCCTAGTACCTCAAATAACAGCAAATATTGAGTCAGCCAGACCAAGGTGTAAATCCAAGAAGTGCCACTAATAAGCTGGGTGCACTTGGGCAAGTTATAATTGCTCAGTGCCCAGTTTCCTCATCTGAAAAAATGCACATAACAATTGCACCTACCTCATAAAGTAGTAAGGAAGGGTAAACGAGTTAATGCATGCAGAGTGCTTAGAACAGTGTAAGCATTCAAAAATGTTAGCTATTATCATTAAAAATAACTTTACAGGCTCGGCGCCTATAGCTCAACCGGCTAAGGCGCCAGCCACGTACACCTAAGGTGGCGGGTTCGAATCCCCAGCCCGGACCCGCCAAACAACA